TCTGTTGGTTCACTCCCCAAATAGCTACAATTGCCGGAAATGGGCCGGTTTGAAGCCAGAAGCCAGGAGCTTCTTCTAGGTCTGCCACATGGGTACAGGCCCCCAAGAACTTCAGCCGTCCTCTGTTGCTCTCCCAGGTGCATTAGCAGGGAGCTGGATTGGAAGTGGAGCAGCTGGGATTCGAACCAGTGCCCAAATGGGATGCCACCATCATAGGCAGCAGTTTTAGCCACTACACCACAACGCTGGCCCCTCCATGAACTTTGTGAAGATCCCACATATATGTTTGGATTTACAAGATCACCTCTGAAAACATAAATATCTAAAGGTTGAATCACTCTCTCATTAGGGTGAATTACTTTAATCAGATTGGCTTCCTCTCAAAACCAGGCGATGATCAGTCACAGGACTGGGGAAGAGGGGGCAATAGTGGGAGAGAAGCCTAGGTGCACACGATGCCTGGGACTGGCCTAAGGAACACAGAAGGCAGTGCAGAGAGGCAGCTTCGCTTCCTCTTTGCTCCGAGCCCTGATGGCCCCTAGAAACCTCTGTGGCACCACAGACGCCTGAGCAGCATTTTGGGATCATCACTCCTAAAACCAAGACACCAGGTCTCAGAAAAACATACTACATATTTCAAGTACCAAACAGAACGGGCTTCCCAGATGGGCTCTTCTGGGTTGTGTAGCAGGAACGGTACCCGGGTGGGGCTTTCACACCCAAGACCAAGCCCAGGAGAAGGCGCTGCCTCAGCGCCTCGCCTGCAGCGAGGGTGGGGGCTTCAGGCCCACTCCCCGCAGCTCCTGTGAGCAGGGCCGCGGCCCCAGCACTGTCTCAGCCACGGCCACGAAGCTGTTCTGTACTCTGCACACGGCCCGCCAGGCCTCACTTCCCAAGAAAAGCGTCTGACGCGTCTCTCAGAGAGGACAATGCCAGCTCTTTATTACTGTTATTATTGCTATTGACCTCACGGCCACCAGTACTTAGGAGGCCAGCGAAGCTCTGCACAGAAGGAAGGGACCGCTGTCCTCCCGGCCCCCGCGGGCCCCGAGGCACTGTCGGGATGAGGCAGATTCCTGTCTGAATCGACAGTGACCAGGAAACCCAGGGAGGCTCAGTCCACTGCTGGCCACGGCTGCTCTGTGCTCACTGACGGGTGCTGCGGAAACACCAAGCGCACAGTGCCGCTTGGCAACCTGCTGCCGCGCCCAGCACTCTCGGCAGCTACTCCAAACCTTCACCTCCCCAGGGCCTCACCGCCACACCCCCCCCCCCCCCCTCATGCTGGGCAGATGGTCCTGCCTCCCACTGCACACAGAAAACAGAGGCTATCAGGCAGGCACACACTCCACTGCCCACCCCTCCTCCCGCTCTGCCCTGCACACTCATCTGCATCCAGCCCTGCCGCCTCCCTCTGGTCACAAAGGCTGCCGCTTTCCTCTGTGCTCCAGCGCCCACCTCCTGAAGCTCCTCTTGGCCGTGACCTCGGAATTCCTCTCTGCTGATGCCCCACCCTCCCCACCCCTTCTCCATCAGCGGCAGGCCTGCTCCAGGGGCCCCGGCACTTAATCCTCCACTCGCTCTAACCACTACCCTGACTCCCCCCCGCCGACCTCCCGTGGTTTACTCTGTGCCATTACGTGTCTCCACTTCTCAGGTCTTGATTCTTACCCCTCTGCAACGCTGCCTCACCAAATCCAAATCCAAAATATCCCTTTCAGGGAGTCACTAATTTCACCTCCCGTTTGCCAACATTGAGGAACTCTGACAGAATTTTCCAAAATGACTGCAACAAGGTCCCCATTTTGAAACACTTCTAGACCTGCCTGTCCATTAGGAGGGAGAGTCTGTTTGCCCACCCCCAGCTGATTGCTTCACCAGCAAGGAAAAGGCAATGCTATCTGGCTCAGAGGGTTAGGATAGAAACAGTGATGCCTGTCCAGCCTGATTCTCTGGGCAAGCTTGCTTTTTTTTTTTTTTTTTTTTTTTTTTTTTTTTTTTTTTTTTTGACAGGCAGAGTGGACAGTGAGAGAGAGAGATAGAGAGAAAGGTCTTCCTTTGCCATTGGTTCACCCACCAATGGCCGCCGCGGCCGGCGCGCTGAGGCCGGCGAACCATGCCAATCCGAAGCCAGGAGCCAGGTACTTCTCCTGGTCTCCCATGGGGTGCAGGGCCCAAGGACTTGGGCCATCCTCCACCGCACTCCCTGGCCACAGCAGAGAGCTGGCCTGGAAGAGGGGCAACCGGGACAGAATCCGGTGCCCCGACCGGGACTAGAACCCGGTGTGCCGGCGACACAAGGTGAAGGATTAGCCTAGTGAGCTGCGGCGCCGGCTCAAGCTTGCTCTTAGAACCCAGCCACCACGCTGTGAGGAAGCTCAAACAGCCACACGAAGACCCTGTCATCGGTTCTCAACTGAGCTGCCAGACACACCGGCCAGCTCCAGCTGCTAACCACAGGAGTGCGCCACCTTGGGCGTGGCCCCTCCGGCCCCCAGCTGAGCCACTGCAGCTACTGCTGCACGAAACAGACCCGCTTCTCCAAGCGCAGGTTCACAAGCAAAGCACCCGGCTGTTGTCTGAAGCCACTGAATTCTGAGAAGGCTCCTGATGCGTCATCAGGTGCGGACACTGCGCTGGCTCTCGCCTGGCTCTCCTTCCATCCCTCCGGCCACGTCTTCTTCACCCCCTCCGTGAACTGAACCCTCTGGGGCTCACTCCTCACGTCAGGATGCTCCTCAGCCTGCCCCTCGCTCCCATGTATCTACAGACACCTTCCCCAGTCATCACAACCATTCGTCCAGTTCCACTACCACGAGTCTCCTGGCTCACAAACCCTGAATCTGAATCCCAATCCAAACCCCAGACTGACACAGACATCCCTATCTAAAATTCCAAACCCCAGACTGACACAGACATCCCTATCTAAAATCACTGGCAGCAATACCTCACCCCGCATGGCTGCTCCCTCACCGGTCACTCGGCTCCAAGACCAACTCCTTACTCCCAGAAGCTACTTTTCCCACTTGCTCTGTTGTCCACTCGCTTCCAGCTAGATTTGGCCACTGAGCAACAAGGCTGAAATACCAGGGGCCAGGAGGAGGTGAAAAACCCTCTGCCTCCAACAGCATCCGTGGCTGCAACTCCCAGGCCCTGTATCTGGGATCCGGGTCCCACCATCGGGCAAGCTCAGTAGGGTTCCAGCTTCCACCAGGTGCTTCCAGCTCCCGAGATCCTGAAATCCACCTCTCCTCCTTGTCCCCCGCCCCGCCGTGGACTGCCGACCCAGCAACCCCGTCTGTATCAGGCCCGCTTACTGTTTTAAGTGCCGTGTGTCTGAAGCTCTTCAAGCAAACTGTTTTTGGCCTGCCTGCACTGGGACTGATACACCTGGTCAAAGGCGCCCAAACGTCATCACTGGAGCCAGAATCCTCAGAGGTATTCCCGTCTCCTCCTCCTCAACCCCACCGCCCCTGACGCCTCCCCAAGTGAAGTGGGAGGCCCCCTGGGGTCCGCCCCAGTCAGCATTTCTGTCCCGCACAGGGCAGCAGCCCCTCGCTAGTCTCCAGGCGACAGTCCCTCTGCCTGCGCACCCTGCCTCCCGGCTGCCAAGAAATTTTTATTTCTAATGCGCAACTGATCGTGACAGCCCCTGATGAGAATGCTCCCAAGGTTCCCCACTGACTACCCAGGAAGAAATCAGATCTGCTCAGCCCCACAGACACACGAGCATTTCAAAAAATCTGTGGAAAAGGGCATCGTTTTATTTTTTTTTTCACGGCATGCACTTTCCGCGCATTTTTTGAAGACCCCTGTGTACATGGCTTTCACACTGTTTTTATTTAAAAGACAGAGTTACAAAGAGAGGTAGAGACAGAGAGAGAGGTCTTCCTTCTGATGGTTCACTCCCCAGATGGCCGTAACGGCCAGAGCTGTGCCGATCCGAAGCCAGGAGCCAGGAGCTTCTTCCGGGTCTCCCACGTGGGTACAGGAGCCCAAGGACCTGGGTCATCTTCTACTGCTTTCCTAGGCCATAGCAGAGAGCTGGACAGGAAGAGGAGCAGCCAGAACTAGAACCAGCACCCATATGGGATGCCGGCGATTCAGGCCAGGGCTCTACCCCGCTATGCCACAGCGCCGGCCCGGGCTTTCACATTTTTGACACAAAAATAAACTTATCTTTTAAATCCATTTCCCACAAATGTTTGGATGCAGTCTCGCGTGTATTGAGTGCTGACAAGGCGTGCTCTTCCACACTTGAGCCTGGAGGACGAGCGTGCTTGCCTGTCCACCCTCCCAGCCTGGCATCACCTGGACCCGCTCTCCTGGCACAGCCCAAGCCGCGCGGCCTTTCTACATGCAGATGCTCGCAGGACACCCATATCCCATGTCGCCTGGTTCAGGTCCTGACTCTGCTTCCAATCCAGCTTCCTGCTGATGCACACCCTGGGCCTGGGTAGTTGGTCACTGCCACCCACATGGGAAACCTGGACAGTGTTCCCAGTTCCTGGCTCCCCAGCCACTGCAGGCATTTGGGAAGCAAACCAGTGGAAGGGGGAGCTCGCACTTGCTTTCTCTCTCTCTCTCTCTCTTTCTGTTTCTCAAATAAATAAAAACATCATATCCTGGGAATACCCCCATCCATTCAAACCAGGGCTCTAGGGCACTTTGCTGGCACTGTCATCTATGACAGAGCCAGGAGGGGCTGTGGAGTGCCCTTGGGCCCAGAAGCAGCTCGGCCTGTTTGGAGACCAGCACAGACAGTTCCCAGGGACAAAGTAGGGTCTGGTCAATCCCCCCCCCACATCCCCATAATATGAGGACCCTGTGGCTGCAGTGTCGCCATGGCAGTCCCCTTGTTGCAGTCCCAGTTCTGTCTCCTACTCTGCTGCTCCAAGGACCTCACACCACCTGCCTGTCTGAGCCAGTTCCACGGAGACGGCCTCCATCCCAGGGAAACACAGGCTGAGGACGAAGCAAGGAGGAAGGGTGGCTCTCACCTCCATCAGGAGAATGTCCTTGGAGCTCTGCGCCTGCACCTTTGGGTGCTGCACCTTCACAGCCACCGTCCGCCCATCGTGCAGCACCGCCTTGTGGACCTGGGCCAGGGAGGCCGCCCCCAGAGGGGTGTCCTCGAAGCTCACGAACAAGTCCTGGATCTGTCGGGAGTGGAGAGAGGACGCACACTTCAGAAGACGGCCCAGGGCAGCGGGAGGGGCTGGGACGATGGGCCAGAGCAGGGCCGCCCAGGGTCCAGGACAGATCTCCTGTTGCTCAGGTGTTCCCCAGCCTGGGGCCTCGCCTCGGCCCACTGCCTCTGTGGAGACCCAGGTCAGGCACACAGAGGGCATGTCCTCAGTCGAGAGCACACGGGCTCTGGAAACCTCCATGAGAGGCCAAGAGGTGCACCCAGAACATTCAGAACTGCATCTGGAGTCCATTTAATCACGCCCCAGTGTGCCTCCTGGGTTCTTACAGACAGATGATTAAAAGTCAACAGGACATGGGCCCAGGCCAGCCCACGACGAAGACCATATGGAAGATGGTCCAATTCCACCATCCAGAGGAGCTCAAAGAACCTGGGCCAGCTCCAAACCCAACAACTGCCTGTAATGCCTGCCCAAGTGGAGGCTTGGAGAGGTGGTCCCAGAGCCCATCCCAGCCTGGCCAGCCCTGCAGGGACCCCAGGGCTAGGACCCTGTCACAGCTCAGCCGTGACGCCCCCAGAGTGGCATCCTCCCCTACCCTCTCTGCACCTCGCTTTCTCTCTCTGTGGAGTGGAAAATTCAGTCCTTCCCCTTTCTTCTTCTCCTTCCTTCCTCCTCCCCCTGCCCCCTTACACACTCCACATCCATTGCCCTGGAGGAGAAACTCCTTCTGACTCCAGTGGTCACAGCTACATGGTCCACTTCTAGATGGCAGGAAGGGCCCCAGATGCCTTTTCCAAGACTGGCCAAGGTTGAAATTCGAATCTTCTCCATTTCTGTAAGCCTCTATCTAGCCTCACGATTCCTCACAGTCCGATGATTCACACACATGCATGTATGCACACACATGTGCACGCGCACATACATGCACGCACACATGCACATGTATAAGGTCTGCCCTCTGATCAGGCCCAGCAGCCTCCGAGTCAACTGGGTACTGCACACGTACGGACTTGTTTTCCTGTCCGTGTCCTGTACACAATACCATACAACAAGTATTTGCAGAGCACTGGCACTGTACTGGTTATCTGTCATCTGGAGATGACATACAGTTCATGGGAAGACTTGCAGGCTTCATACAAACACCACACGTAGTACACAAGGGACGTGAGTGCCCTCGGAGGTCAGCACCCTCAGGGACAGCTGTCCACATAACCACTCACACGCCTCCCCTCCTGCCGCACCCCCAGGCTCTCCTCGGTCCACGCCCCTTCCTGCCTGTCCTCCCTCTTGTAGCAGCCCCTCGGTCCTGCTCCTCAGCCCTTTTCCTTTGCCCAGACCTCAGAAGTCCCATGGGCCCCGGCCACTGTCCCTTCCCTGTTTGCAAGGCTGCACCATGACCCTGGCAATCCCAACTCGTGAAGCTCCCTCCATCCCTGCCATCATCCTTGTCACTTGCACTCAACTCCATGCTGTCCACCACGGTTCCACAGAGGCCGAAGGCCCAGGACGTGCTGGGAGGGGCCGACGCATCTCTGACACAAGAGGCAAGTATGGGATTGGCTTTCCCGGTCCCTGCTTCCTCATCAATCTTTCTCCCACACCCAAGTCCCAGGTGCTCCCAACAATGCACCTGTCTTTTCCCTTCTTTGATGATTCTAGGCTTCCTGAGGGCAAGACTCCTCCTCATCACCTGGGGGCTCTCAGCCCCAGAACACCCTGAACCCAGGCTTGGGATGAAAGAGGACCAGGACCATCACCCTAAAAACCCCATGAGGACATCAGCTCCACATGGGCAGGAGTTTTGTCCTGTTCCCTGCGGAGTCCCTGCACCCATGACGAGGCTGGATCTAGTCACTGCCAAACAGGTGTTTGCTAAATGGCTGGACCCACCATCCTCTCTGCTGGAGAACAGGATCCACTTTTCTTCCCCTTGAAATGCCAGACCTTCCTGCTCCCTCACTCCTCAAATGCGTAACATTCCAAAATACTCAAAGTACACATCAGGTGTGGGGTTTACCCAGGCAGTGTCCACCTGTTACTCCCTGGTGGCTGGGAGACTCCAGCCTGGCCAATCAGAACTCTAAGTGCCTCTGGCCCCTCTGATTGGTTCAGAACGGACCAACTGGCCCAATCAGATTCAATGATTTTGCTTTCCTTTGAACTGTAGAAGAAGAGATTCCTTCTGCACAACTTGGGCAGACCTACAGGGGCTGGAGCTGCTAAGAGCCACACTGTAGAGCTGAGAGAGGAGGTGCAAATCCTGATCATGATGGCTGAGCCCCTTGATCTGGCCATACCTGAGTACCTGCCCTCTGATTCTCCCAGTTCAAGCTTTATGTCACACACAGCTGAAGGGGCTCTGACACAGTCCATTCGCAGGCCCCTGCCAGGATAAATGAAAGGCTTCATGGGTGTGAAGCCCAGGATTGTCCAAGAGGCTCAGTGAGCCTGAGTTCCTCGCCCCCCTCTTGCTGGGATGGGGATCCAGGAACAGAAGGGAAGGTGGACCTTCAGCAGTGCTCCCGGCCTCAGATAATGACATCAACACCAGGCCCTGTGGAAGCCCTCTGCTGGTTCCAGAAAGAGTGCCAAGGACAGCGATTCTGGACCAGAGTGTGACCACAGGCCCTCACCTCCCTGGCAGCTGGAACGACCCAATCTTCCTGCTGCAGAGACTTAGGGGTCACCTGCCCTCACTCCCCACCAGAAGCCTCAGCCGGGCGCCCAGGAACACCTGCTCATTGTCTGGGCAGAACAAGCAGTCTTCAAACCACGGTCACTGCAGGGACATTGCAGAGTCACTGTAACCGGAGAGTGACACGGCACTGCTGGGCTGTGTGGCCAGAAGAGCTGCCAAGAGCATCACACGGCAGGTAGAGGAAGGAGAAGGCCAGGCCAGCAGATTCTAATCTCCGGGGTGAGAGAGTCTGGCTCATCACACACCTAGGGGACAGGAAGGAGGCTTCCTACAATTCCCTGCCCCCACCAAGGGAGCCCAAGACACCACCCAAGCCCAGCTGCCAACTCAGCACCCTGCACCAGGCCCAGCTGTGAGCACTCACCCAAACCCCCCATTGTGTCAGTGACAGCCAAGACAAGCACGGGAACAAGGAGGCCCCCCCTAGACGGGGGACCCGTCAAGCAGATGCCCTCCCCCCTACACAGTGTCCCTGCAGCCAGCCTATCTCCCTCTCTGGAAGCAAGTCGCATGCCCACGCCCGCCTGTGCTTACGCGAGCGTGCACACACACATGTGCACACACACACACATGCAGGCCCACACACACACACGATAACTGATCGCTAGTGGAGGCTCCTAGCTGACTTATAAAAAAGGTAATTAAAGATTGGTGCTGCAGCCTGTAATTAAATAGGAATAAAGTATCTCTAAATGGAACCTTGAATCAAAGCGTTCAGTGGAAGTACTTTATGCTGCTAGAGAGTAAGGAAAATAGCCCCATGCCTACAGCTGAATTATACCCCTGCCCAGCTCAGGCCTGGCTGCCCCGGGTATCCCGCAGAACACCATTCAGGCAAACATGCTGCAGCTCCAGCGGCACTGCATTCGGGCTGGGCCCTCCGCTGCCTCCATTTGGACAAACTCGCACCATGGCTGAACCTTGCTTTCTTTGCCCTCTTTCTTTTTTTCTTTCTGGGTCTGGCAGCAAAATCAATTAAGTCAGAAAACTGCATTCTTTAAAAAAGATATTTCTTTATTTCTTTATTTATTTGAAAGGCAGAATTACAGAGAGGCAGAGGTGGAGAGAGAGAGAGAAGTCTTCCATCCTCTGGCTCATTCCCCAAATAGCTGCAATGGCCAACCTGTCCCAAAGCCTCTTCCAGGTCTCCCATGTAGGTGCAGGGGCCCAAGGACTTGGGCATCCTCTACTGCTTTCCCAGGCCACAGCAGAGAGCTGGATCGGAAGTGGAGCAGCCGGGTCTTGAACCGGCGCCCATATAGGATACTGGCACTGCAGGCAGTGGCTTTACCTGCTATGCCACAGTGGTGGCCCCAAACAAATGATTGGTTATGTGATTTTCAATTATGGTCAGCCCAATGACCCCATGATTCAACAGCTTCCATGTCCCTGTCCAGAAAAGGAAAAAACAACAGAGAAAAAAGTTTCTCTAGGTTTATCTAGTTGTGTGTGTGTGTGTGTGCGTGTTAAATGGGGATGGGATGTTTGTCTTCCTGTGAGCAGAAAAACACCAGAGGAGCAAGAAGTGTGCCACCCCCAGGCGCTTCACAGATGGGACAGATAAGTCTCAACTTCTGCAGGGGTCTGCAAATTAGGAGACTGAGTGACCTCTCATGCGAGTCCCAGGGCAGAGACAGAGTTTCCAGAACCTTCTATCCAGCTGGGCAGGCAGTTGTGCAGGTTCCCAGGAAGCCAGCTTAGAGCCAATGTTTCCTGAAAGCCAAGGCCGGCCAGGGCTGTTCTTCAGCTCAAAGGTGACTAGCTCTCCTGGAAAAGCCACAGCGTGACGCCTGCGGAGGTCACCCTGGGACAGTCTTGGCCAGCCCCGTGGGCATCTGCAGTCTGCTAGCCTGGGACACCCCCGGCAATGGGCTCACCAGTCACGGCACAGGACAAGGCCCGAATTTTTCCATTAAGGCCCAATTGCAAACGTTCCATCCTGTTGTCCCCACCCACTCACAGCAGCCCACTTTTGGGTGTAGAAATGTCATCACCATTAAATAACGCATCTCACTAACCTCAAACTGCCCAGCTCCTGAGGAAAACGGGGGCCTGCCTGATGCAGGCAAGACAAGGTCTAGGTGCAAGGCCAGGCAGCTTCCACTCAGGAGCTGCAGAGACTACCCAGGGCACCTGAGCAGGAGCCGCTCCGGGCGGGTTACCATGGCATCATCAGCCGACGGCTTCTGCCTCTCAAAGTCTCCCCGTGGCCCACCTCAGGCCTGGCTGGGTGCTAGCTGTCACACACTGGAGCCCGCTGTCAAGCACACATCTCTCTCTGTGCTTATGGAAGTGGTGAGAGTGAACCTTA